ACGAATACATGTCTCAGTCTTGTTTTATTCAACATTCCAGTATCATGTAACTCAGTATGATTCAGTAATTTAGTATCATGTGTTGCAGTATAATTCTCAGTTCCTGTATTTGGGCCAGAGGCCGCAGTTTATGCTTTATGAATCATTGGGCTTGAGGCCGTGGCTTATGTTGTATGCATGTTTGGGCCTGAGGCTATAGTTTATGCTTTATGCATGTTTGAGACCGAGGCTGTAGTTTATTCTTTATGCAATTTTGGGCCTGAGGACGTAGTTATATATACGTATCCTTGGGACCGAGGCTATAGCTTGTGCCATATATATTGGGCCCGAGGCCATAGGTTATTCAAAAAACAGGTGGTTCATCATTTAAAAGAGGGAGTACTCATATCCTTACTTCCTTTGTTCAGTTCAATTATTAGTTATTAGTTATCATTTCAGTTATCACTTCAACTATCAGCTATCAGTTATTAGTTATTAGTTTCAGTTTCAGTATTTACAATTCTTTCTTTCAGTTGCTTTACATACCAGTGCAATTCAAATGTACTAACATCCCTTTAGCTCGGGGCCTGCATCTCACGATGCAGGTAATGATTTACAAGTTGATGATTCAGAGCGCTAGGATTCTCGTACCAGTTATTTGGTGAGCCCAGTTCTTTCGGGGTACTGTCATTACTTTGCAGTCTTTCAATATTTATAGATATTAGTGTTTTCAGTACTTCATTAGAGGCTTCATAGACTAGAGTAACAGTTGAACAGAGTCAGAGGATCTTCCTGTTAAGCAATGTTGGCTACGTATATGCTTCAGACTAGTATTAATTTTTTCGTACTCTGATTTATATCCTTCATACATTAAGTATATTAGCATGTGTTAGTTTATCTTCCGCATTCAGTATGTTATGATATCACATGTTGATTTAGCCAGCCAATTGGTTCACTTGGTCGCATGTAATCAAGCACCGGATGTCGTGTTACGTCAAGGCTCAGGTTCGGGACATGACTAGTGTTAAGGAAGGTCCGGGTGCCAAGGGAGGATTACAAATAAATGGGTAAAGGCTTGTAACACGGTTACCAATAGGGAAAGGGTAAAGGCTCAAAGGGGTTGACTAGGGATAACAAACATCGGATGGCAATAAAAAACTCAAACGGACCAAGGAAAGCCTACAATCATATTCCAAACTAAGAAAACCTAGAATTTCGCCTTGAAAAACATTTGAGGCAAGTTCTAGACTATCCACTCATGCACTTGGACTAGCAACAAAAATTACCTCACCTCTCATGCAACTAGACCGCAAAAAAGGATAGAGTCTAAAGCCTACAACAATACAGTCAAGTTAAAGATCACTATTGTCCAATCAATCACTCAATGATTGTCAAAGTCAACTCAAGAATCTCAAAGTCAGTAACTAGAGCTATATTCTTACAAAAATCGTGTTTCAAACCATAAGCACATAGTTAAGTGTGTTGATGCCAAATGAAGCATGAATAACTCTTTTTAGAGAACGACTTGATTGGGGATTTTATTCATTACTACTACTATTGTTATTACCTAGACACAAAAATGACTCATTCCCTTAAGAAAGTTGTCACAAGATCCATCCTCGAGAAGAGTCGCCCGGTTCACACAAAAGACCACCTTTAGAAAGAACTGTGGCATTAAGAAAACCAAAAGCTTATTATCCACACTACTAAGAAAAACATAGAAGCTACTATATAAAAAGAAACTACTAACATAAGCAAAATCAAAGCTAACAAATAAAGAAGCTAATGAAAGCAATAACTACTAAAGATAGATAACATGAAACAGAATTATCTAATTATTACATTCCAAAATATCCAAATGTATCCAATGTATCAAATAAGCTCCAAAGCCCCCCCCCCCCCCCCCGGAATAAAAGTAAGCACTGTCCCCTATGCTTAACAAAATAAGAGCAATAGTCGAGAGGGCAAAGAAACTCCCAAAGTGTCCTCGGTCATCACTGTGTCCCCAGCAGCATCAGTCCCTCTTGGGTCCGCCAACTGAATATCATCATCAAATCTGGGAGTGATTGGAGAAGTGAACATCGCACGCACTGCATCGGCAGTGTCGCTGGCAAGGAATGGCTCCTCAAACTAGCCAGCACAAGCATCCTGTGTAGATGGATCAGGGTGGGGCTAGGATGGGTCAATCAGCATGTCAAAAGGAAAATATCCAGATGTAGCTAATCAGGTCACCTCAGTCCGAAGCTTATCCACTGACTTCTTACTGGTCTGGTATTCCGCATCTTATTCACCTGCTTGGTCAACCTCTCGATCACAACACCATGTTGTACCAATGTATCCATAACCACCTTCTGGTTGACTAAGATTTTGCTCAACTTCTCATCAATGTGAGTGGGATCCCGGGGTGCCTGTGTAGATGACTGCACTACAACAACACTGGAGATCTCAGACAACTTTGAAGTAGTTGAATGAATCCAGTTGCTAAGACTCACCTATGTCTGAGACTCATAGAGAAGAAAGTGTTCATGTAGGCATGGGCACCGGCCTCGGAGCTGGAGTAGGAACTGCCCTAGGAGCTATGGAAAGAACTCTAGAGGGAGCTCAAGATGGTGGCTCAGGCATAGCAGTTGATGCACTAGTAAAAGGCTCAGCTGATGTGGATGGAATATCGGATATACCAGAAACCACCACAATTGGTTCATCAGACTTGACAACAGTAGTAGAAGGCTGAGCACTTTTCTTCGGGTTCCTTGGATCCTACAGCTTATACCACTCAAACGGCCCGGTCGGCTTGACCTTGGTGTCAAATGGCTTGGGCTCTACCTTAGCATCTATCACATACTCAGTAATGGTGTTAGGGTAGGGGTAAGAAGTGTTGTTATGCTGTGCCACCAAAGAGATGTTGACCGACATTAGGGCACCCATATTGATCGGGTACCCCGCCATAATAGAAGCCACCAGAATAGCTCTAGGGATGGGCAAGTTGTTTTGATTCAAGTACGGGTCTAGCCTGCTGCAGACAAAGGTTTGCCGCCCTTTGGCCTTGAAACTCAGGATGCTATGGAGGATAGGCAACCCAGCAGCAATCCAAGGGTGAGTGGTCCCCGGTGCTAGAATCTTCGCAAGCCACGGTCTAGCTTCTTCCATCAAGGCACACTTCTCTAAATATTCTTTCAGCTTCATATCCTTAAATCCCAAATACGCATTCAAAGTATGGTGATCAATCTTCATTTACAAATTGTGCACTTTTATAACCTTTGTCCCCTTGAGAATATGCGTTGTGTTGGCATAAAACTCTCGGGCAAGGTGTTCTTTGACATCCACTAACTTTTTTGTAAATAGCATCCAACTTTTTCTCTTTGTAAACTGCTCTAAAACTGCGGGATTGTACTTGTCAAGATCTTTCAATAAGAATTGATGCTTATGAGTCAAACACTGCACAAGCCACCACATCCGAAAATCAAAAAATGTATGGAGACTCACAAATCTATTCTCCCAACCCCCTTTCTTCTTTGTCCAAGCTAAACCGACATCTGTATCTACTCCCCATCTCCCATCATCAGGAGCATCATTAGAACCAGACCCTGCAGCAACTACCTCAAACTCCTAGCTGGCACTTTCCGAACCTTGGGAAGTGTTGTGGGATGTAGAAGGAACATCCAGAGGCTCAGATCGCCCCTGTGGCCTGGATTTCTCCTCAGTGCGCTCCTTCGGAATAGACATAGAGTTTCCGTCAGAGGTTTTCCTAGGCGGGCGATATGAGCTAGACTCGAAGAGGTCTCTACCTCCAACTCGGCATGTTGTTGCTTTCTTTGATATTGTCTTTTGCACACTTGGGTCAAGGCACCTCTACCTCGACCCTTTGACGTTTCACCTCTTCCTTGGTAAATTCACCGAGTCCTTGTGATCGTACCATTATCTGTATCAACACAAAGAGAATTGTCAATTGCAAGTGATGATTCAACATAGTTAAGACTCAAGTAAGTGAGTGAGAACAACATAGAAGCAGCGGGGTTACAATTGGATAAACATACTACAAAAATGGGTGAAGTGCGGCCCGCAGAGTGGAAATACGGATTGCACAATTCCAAGTGCAGACGCACTTCTGCACAAGTGTGCAAAGGCCTTAGATGCTTACTCTTTGATGGACAGTGCGGAGGTCATGTGTGGCTACAGAATTCATCTGCAGCCCGCACAATTGAAAGTGCGGTCCGCACTTCAGGGTCTCAGAGGGCAAGCCTTTGATAGACAATGCGGACCGAAATGCAACCTCTCTAGAAATTCTGCAATCCGCACAATTAAACTACAATCACAGAAACATTATCCTACCACCAGTTACCCTACTTAGTAAATTGCGGACCGCACAAATTCAAGTGCGGCCGCACATTTCAATAATAGTCGAGCATGTCCTAAATTTACCTAGGTTTTGCAAGAACTTGATCAAATCTGCCTGGCAACATGGCATACACATAGAAAGCAGTTAACCCAACCCATTCATGTTTTAACAATTACCCATTACAAAATTAGCCCACATGGATACAATGATGGAATATAATAACAGATGGCCGAAAAATCTAAAAAGTAAAACTAAATTCAAAAATTAGAATGAGACAAAATCAACATGAAATGAAGCATACTAGATGATGTAAATGTGAAAAGATCCTGTGAGTGCAAATGGATGTGTGTGTTTGAAAATGTTAGGTCCTCAAGTAGACTCTCAGAGTAACAGTACATTCTCAAAAGTGTAAAAAGTGCAAAATAAGGCTTAAAGTTCAATATATACTTAGAGGATTTGAGAGGGCAAAGAGTCGAGTACGGCCGAACAATTTCAAGTGCGAGCCGCACTCTTCTACCTGACCTTTAGTGGTCTGCTACTCATGTGCGGTCCGCACAATTTCAAGTGCGGCCGCACAATTCTTCCCGAGGTAGCACATTTGCCCCGCACTGACAGGGAAAAAGTTCAGAGACCCTGTTATTTCGCATCTAAGTTAGCTTGAGGAAGTGCGGTCCATAGATGAAATCTACGGCCGCACAACGTCTTCTGCGGTAGCAATATTTGTCTGCGGCCACACAACCCTCTCCTCCATTGTTTCATCTACAATCATCCCTGCAGCACACTTCAAATCAAGTTAAAAACAACAAAGAACATGTAACTACAAAAAGAAAAGGAAAAGAACTTGGGTTGCCTCTCAAGAAGCACCTTACTTAACGTCGCGGCATGACGCAATGTCATAACATCCTCAAGTGACGTAAATAACCGCAACCACGTGGCTCTCTCAAACTTTTCCCAAGTAGTGCTTCACCTGGTGATCATTGACTCGGAATATTCCATTTTTCTTGTTCTTCAAATCCAATGCATCGAAGGGTGTCACACCAACAATTTCAAACGGACCACTCCACTTGGACTTAAGCTTCCCGTGAGACATCCTCAACCTTGAGTTAAATAACAACACTAGATCATCGACCTTGAATTGATTGTTCCAAATGTAATTGTCATGAAGATATTTCGTCTTTTCTTTGTACAAAGACAAACTCTCATACGCACGGCACCTTGAACTCATCCAATTCATTCAAGTGTGCAACCCCCAAGTTAGCCGCTACATCCCAATCAAGATTCAATTTATTGAAGGCCCACATTGCCTTGTGCTCTAGTTCCATTGAGAGATGACAAGCTTTCCCGAGCACTAACCGGTATAGAGGCATTCCAATAGGTGTCTTGTAGGCCGTCCTATATGCCCATAACGCATCATCAAGCTTCTTGGACCAATCCATCTGATTTGCATTCACCATTTGACGAGATACTCCTTATCTTCCGGTTCGAGACTTCCACTTGACCACTAGCTTATGGATGATAGGGAGTCGTGACCTTGTGAGTAACACCATACTTGCTATGTAAAGTGTCAAAAGCCTTATTGCAAAATTGTGACCCCACATCGCTTATGAATTGCTGGTGGAGTACCAAATCTATTAAAGATATTCTTCTTCAAGAAATCCACTACACTTCTCGCCTCATTGTTGGGTAAGGCGATGACCTCAGCCCATTTGGACACATAATCCACCGCGATCAAAATGTAAGTGTTTTCAAAAGAACTCACAAAATGGCCCATAAAGTCAATGCCCCAAATATAAAAAATATCAATCTCCACGATGGTTGTGAGAGTCATCTCATTTTTCTTTGAAATTTCACCGGCCCGTTGACATTCATCACATCTTTTCACTAAGTCATTTGCATTTTTGTAAAGAGTAGGCCAATAGAAACCACAACTTAAAACTTTCGACGTCGTTTCTTGCTCCACCGTGATGACCACCAAATGGCAACGAATGACAAGCTCCAAGAATATCACCTTGCTCTTCTTCCGATACACACCTTCAAATCACCCCATCCGTACAAATCCGGAAAAGGTATGGCTCATCCCAATAGTAATCTTGACAATCTCTTATTAGCTTCTTTCTTTGGTTTGAAGAGAACTCATCCGGAATGATACCACTCACAAGAAAATTTTCCAAGTACGCAAACCATGATACCTCTTTCATTGATAGTGCCAAAAGTTGCTCATCAGGGAAAGAGTCGTTGATTTCAAGGCCATCATGTGGCCTCCCCTCCTCCTCCAAACGAGACAAGTGGTCCGCCACTTGGTTTTAACTACCTTTCTTATCTTGAATGTCAATATCAAATTCTTGGAACAAGAGCACCCATCTCATCAACCTAATTTTAGATTCCTTTTTTCTCATAAGATAGCGAAGTGCCGCACGATCCGTGTGGACATCAACTTTGACACCCATCAAGTACGAGCGAAACTTCTCAATTGCAAACACAATATCAAGGATCTCTTTCTCTGTAATGGTATAATTGACTTGGGCACTATTCTTGGTCTTACTAGTATAGTAAACCGGATGAAAAACCTTTGTCGATGCGTTGCCCCAAAACAGCCCCAACCGCTACATCACCTGCATCATGCATGAGCTCAATTGGCAAGCTCCAATTTGAAGCGGTAATAATAGGAGTAGTTGTCAACTTGAGCTTCAATTGTTCTAAAGCCCTCGTACAATCTTCATTGAAATGGAACTTGGTATCCTTCTCAAGGAGCTTACACAATGGGTTCACAACTTTAGAGAAATCTTTGATAAAGCGCCGGTAGAAATCTGCATGGCCTAAGAAACTCCTCACATCCTTCACCAAAATAGGGGTGGAAACTTAAAAATCACCTCAATCTTCCCCTTGTCAACATCAATGTCATTCTTTGAGATCGTATGGACAAGAAAAATACCTTCCTCAACCATGAAATGACATTTCTCGCAATTGAGAACCAAATTAGTCTCCTTTCATCTAGCCAACACTTTGTCTAAATTTGCATAAAAATCATCAAAGAATCTCCAACCACTGAGAAGTCATCCATGAAGACTTCAAGGTAGTCCTCCACCATGTCTGTGAAAATAACCATCATACACCATTGAAAAGTTGTCAGTGCATTGCACAAACCAAAAGGTATCCTCTTTAAGACAAAGTACCATAAGGACATGTAAAGGTTATTTTCTCTTGATCTTCTGGAGCAATAAGAATTTGTTGTAGCCCGAGTACCCATAAAGAAAACAATAGAAAGCACATCCAACCAATCTATCGAGCATTTGGTCCATAAAATGAAGTGGAAAGTGATCCTTCCTTGTGACTTTGTTGAGCTTACGATATCCATACAAACTCTCCAACTGGTCACTGTTCTTGTGGGAATCAACTCATTATTCTCATTGGTAACAACCGTCATGCCCCCCTTCTTTGGGACACATTGAGGTGGAGAGATCCATGAACTATTGGAGATGGGGTAGACAACCCCGGCATCCAACCACTTGATAACCTCCTTCTTTATCACTTCTTGCATAGCCACATTGAGTCTTCTTTGATGTTCAACAGATGGTTTAGCACCATCCCCTAATTTGATCTTGTGCATGCAAAATGTGGGGTTTATACCCTGAACATCCTCCAAAGTCCACCCAATAGCCTTATTACTCTCTTACAATACCACCAATGTGGAATCAACTTGCACATTAGTCAATCAAGAGGAAAGAACAACCGTAAAGTAGAACAAGGGCCAAGAAATATATACCGAAGGTGTGGTGAAATGGATTCGACTCCAAAGTAGGTGGATCTTCAATAGAAGGCTTTGTAGGAGGAGTCTTCCTATTCTCAAGATCCAAAGACAATTTTCGAGGTGCATAGTTGTACGACCCTATTCCTTGCAAAGAGTTCACACATTCCATGAAACCGTCCATCTCATCATCATCAAAGTTGAGAAAAAAGGCTTCCAACATATCACAAACATTGATTATAGCACTTGTATCATTAATAATAACATCAGTCACTAAATCTACAAAAGAACACACCGCATTGCTATTTGGTTGATGCATAAGCTTGCACACATGGAATACCACTTTTTTATCACCAACCCGGAAAGTTAGTTCTCCGGCTTCCACATCAAAAAGAGACTTACCTGTAGCAAGGAAAGGTCTCCCAAGAATAATAGGCACTACATAATCAACTACACAATCTAAAATAACAAAGTCTGCCGGAAGAATGAACTTATCAACCTGGACCAAAACATCCTCAATCACTCCCAACAGCATCTTCATGGTACGATCAGCCATTTGCAACCTCATTGATGTGGGTCTTGGTTTCCTATTTCCAAAAATTTTAAACACTGAATAGGGCATCAAATTGACACTTTTCCCCAAGATCACAAAAAGCTTTAGCTAAATCGGCACTTTACAAGGAATCATGAAAGCACTGGGATTCTCCAACTTAGGAGCAATGTAATGAACAATTGCACTTACTTGATGAGTGACTTTGATAGTTTCAAAATTCATCGACCTCTTCTTGGTCACAAGATCTTTCATAAACTTGGCATAACCGGGCATTTGTTCCAAAGCTTCTACCGGTGACACATTAATAGAGAGACTTTTCATCATTTGAATGAACTTATCGAATTGATTCTCACCATTTTTCTTGGCAAGCCTTTGAGGATAAGGAGGTGGAGGCTTAGGTAATGATGCCTTGGTCTTTTACACTACCGGCTCCGGTATGGCAATGATGTGCTCCCTCGACGGGTTCACCTCTACGTGCTTTTACTCAACTCCTGAAGGTTAGGGTACGCACTTTGCGCGTGTACTTATATCAATGAATGCTAAATTTTTAAAAGATATATAAATATTACTTCCTCTATTTTAATTTACATAATACATTTTTCTTATTAAAGTAAGACAGATAGATAGATCCGTGTACATTTTTGTTGTTGTGGACAATACATAGTAGTTAAAATTAAACAAAGATCTAATGTTATTTGTTTTTAGTCCTTTTATATTTAAAAAAATATATAGTTTTTGATTTGCGACTTTGAATAATTTTGATACATGGTTTTAACTTTTTGAGTTATTTCGATTTTAAATAATTTTGATACATGATTTTAACTTTGTGAGTTATAATTTTTTTTTCTATTTTTTTCTTTTATATTAAATATCAATAAAACTTACTGTCTTAAGCTTAAATATTTTTCAAATCACAAAAGAAAAGAAAGAGAAGTAGAGAAGCATACCTAGAAGAGTTGATGGATGTATGTGGCCGGAGAGGAGCTCCTTTTATAAATCAGCAATGATGGTGTTTGGATACTTTCAAACGTGATGATCCCTCTTTTAATCCAAATTCTCAAATGGCATAATCTTTTTCTAAAATAAAATTAAATTGGATGGAAAATAAGAAAGGAAAAGATATTGGCCTAAATTTTGAAAGAAAATATTATTTCCAAGGAATTTTTAACTATTTAACCCTTATTATGTCATTTATTTATATGTTATCTCCATCATCAAAAATAATTACTACTAAGAATATAAAAAAAAAAAAAAAAAAAATNATTCGAAACAGTTACTTGTAAAATCACAAATAATTTGAATCATCTATTTTTAGAAATTACGATAAACAACTTAAGATGGAAGGATTAGAAATTAATTCCTTTATATTAATTATATATTGGCTTATTTTGAACTCTAATTTCCTCATCTAGCTTGACTTTTAGAATATCAACAGTACTTAGCTAATAAAAAGAAGAATTAATAATAGTAGTTCTTTTTTTCAAATTGAAAAGTAGTAATAGTTCGTCATATTTTGCCTTTAATGTCTTGAATCCCAATTTAATTCTTAGTGGTGAAACATTATAACTTTGAAATTTGAATTCCTAAAACGTATTTCAATGTCAAATTTAGTTCTTATATTTGGTCCTAAATATTAGGATTTTGAATTATAAAGGGAAAATTTTAGTTGATTTTAATATCTTAAATATTGGAATTTCTTACTATAAAAACTAAAGTTTTAGTTGATTTTAAAATCCTAAATATTAAAAAATTAATACTATAAATATTAGAAAATAAAATAATTATTTTATTCATTGTGAACTCTATTTTTAAAGGATAAAAAAGGCAAACAATATTTCGTTAAAGATATTCGTGCTTTTAATATAGTATAAATATAGATAAATTCGGATACCAACGTAACATGTGCCTAAATGGGCATGTCCTAATACTATCTGTATCACGAGATTCATTATGAATTAATAAGTTTTACGTTGGTTGTAAACCTACCGTAGCCCTCCTTTGTTATCTGGGCTGGGACTAACAATATGGGCAAGCTCACACCGGCGAAGTTCTGGAGGAGCTTTATTGGTGAACCAAAAACCAGTTCAGTGGAGGGGAGTCGAGCCACTTCCACACGGGAAACAACAAAACAATAGGGAAAGAGCATACTTATACAA